TGCTGGTGGAATTGTATAACTGTGCAATTGCTATGCAAAAAAGCATGGAAATATCTCAAAAAATTAAAATATGGCACTATCATATGATCCAAAAATGACCCACTTCTGAGTGTAAACCCAAAAATCCTGAAAGCAGGCACCTAGGCAGATATCTGCACACCCGTGTTCATAGCGGTCTATTCAGAATAGCCAAGAGGTGGAACCAAAGCAAATGCCATGGGCAGATGAATGGGTGAACAAATATGGTCTACACATACCATGGAATGTGATTTAGTCTTCAAAAGATGGAAATATCATCACATGCTATGACACGGATGAGCTTTAAGGGTATCACACTAAGTGAAATAAACCAGTCTCAAGAAAATAAAAACTTCACAGTTATGTGAGGTCCTGAAGTAGTCAAATTCATAGAAACAGAAAGCAGAATGATGATTACCAGGACAGGGCTGAAGAGAACGTGGGAAGCTGTCTAACAATAAAGTTTCACTTTTGCAAGATGAAAAGGTTGTAGAGCTTGATTGTGTGGAAATTTGAATACACTAAATACTTCTGAACTGTACACTTCAAAATGGGTAAGCGGCACATTTGTTATATGTTTTTACCATAATTTTTAAAACATTGTTTATTTTTCTCTTCACTAGAAAAAGATTCAAAAATAAAATTAGAAAAACATGCAATAGCAGCAAAAGCTATAACTTTTCTAAAAATTAGCTGAGCCTACAAAGAACCACTATGAAAAAGTAAATTTTAAAAGCCATAATATTGAAAAACTAAGACTACTTTAGTAAATGGGGAAATAGCCTCTCCTTTTGTGCAATTACTTAATATAGAAAGAAATCAATTAACCCCAAATTGCTTTGTAAATTCAGTATGACCTCAATCAAAATTCCACATTGACAGTGCATTAACCATTGTTACTCTCCTATTACCTTGTTTAGAAATTTTATTTTTTTCTCTTTAAATAATAAATTCCTCACTGGGGAATTCAATAAGCGTACTATAGAATGTGTATGAAAAGTGTAAATGTGTATGAAAAAATAAAGAAAGACCCACAACGGGTTCACATGCCGCAGGGAGAGAGGGCACAGTGTACAGCAGTACTCTCCCAGCGGCCCTGGAGCAGGCTTTGAACTTCCTCTTCTGCTTAGCTTTTGTCTCTGAGGCCAAGGAGGTCCACGTTTTGTACCTCTGCCCCCTGCCCCCGGCAAGCTTGGCTTCTTTCCTTTGCATTGAGAATGTGCTGTCCTCCCATCTGCTCCACACCTGCTGTCCATCCTCTCCACCTGGAGTACACCCGCCATGCTGGCCCATGTGGCCAGGATAGGCTTCGCTGGCTTTTGGCCTCAGCCTGAAAGCAGACAGAGGGCAGGATGAGGTCAGGGTTACCCCGTCTCCGCTCACCTTGAGCTGGCCCAAGACTGAAGTCCCTGGACTGAAGATGCTGCTCCCAGCAAGGTGCCCATGGTACAGGACTTGCTCCCTCTCCTAGTTCTGGCACCCTAGCTGCCACCAGCCCCAGATTACAGAACCAGGCTACTGTACTCCACCCATTTCTTTGTAGATATTTCCTTATAAATTAACTCTCCTTGAACCATCCTACCTTGAGTGTGGCATCTGGTTTTGTTTGTTTGTTTTGGGATTTGGGGCTTTTGGGTTTTTTGTTTTATTTTTGTCTTTTTGAGACAAGGTCTCACTATGTAATTCAGACTGGCCTTGAACTCACTTTGTAGCCTAGGCTGGCCTTGAACTTGAGGCAATCCTCCTGCCTCAGCCTCCCGAGTGCTGGGATTATAGGTGTGTGCCACCACACCTGGCCTGCCATCTGGTTTTTGAAGAGATTCAAGTAAGACAAAAGTCTTTTCTTCATTCTGCATTTCTTAGCAGGTTGGCCAGGAGCTCTCCAAAGCTTCCTGTGCAGTGGAAGAGGAAGGGTCTGGGAGAAAGCTCTGTGAGTTTGGTGCCCCTCCACCCTCAGGAGGCCCTGGGGACAGTCTGCCCAAAGAAGGGGAGGAAACACTATGCCTCACTTCAGGGCAGCTTGGAGGCTCTAAGGAATGGCACGCACTCTCCCCCAAAACAAAGTGGGGTGGGGTAGAACTCCACCCACACCTGTCATCTGATTTGTCCAATTTTACTCCGGGAGCAGAATTACTCATCATGTTGTCTAAAAACAATTGTGCTGAAATTAAGTGTTAATCCTTGTCTATTCCTCTTACATGATTGTGAGCATGCACAGGGAGACAGCAAGAACCTGGAACCCACAACTGTGTTCCCCTTCAGCAAAAAATCTCAGGCTGAGCCCTCCCATGTATTTGGGTTTTCTTTCCACTTTCTCTAATGGTCAAAAGAGAACCTCAGGCTTAGGGTCAGCACCTTTCTCTGAGGCACTGTTATCTGCCCCAAGAGTTAAAGAAAGTTCCTGCCCTAGGCTTGCCTCGTGGGCATAGACTCAGTTCTGTCAGACCTGGGCAGACTGTCAGACTCGAAGACCCTTAAAGTTAACTCATCTTGAAGTTCAGCTTCTAAATGAACAAGACATGAGAGGAGGAGAACCATTCATGCGTGACTTGGATTAGGTATTACACAAAAGCCTCTCTCTCCTCCCCTCCCCCAACCCATCCCTCCTCTTACCCTCTTTCTCCCTCTTTCCTGCTCTCACCCTCTCTCTCTTCCTCATGCACACACACAACCCCCTACTTTTGGGGCACTGTATCAGGTACTCCACTCCACTCCCCTCACACAATCAATCCTAGAGTCAGCCCATCATTACCCCTCTTCCATCTGCCTTCCGGGCAGCATTCTTTCCACTGTGTATTGGCAATGGAACTTCCTTTTGTACCTAAAGTAAATCTAGCTTTCTGGATCCCAGGACAGAAAGATCCCAGTTACAAGATCCCAGTTACAAGACACTTTCCTATTTACCACCTGGAAAGAGACAGCCTTTCCTAAGGCAAGCTTAAGATTTCCCTATAAGAATAATCTTCATGGGTAATCTTATGGTGTGAGTGGACTGAAAGCTGTTTGGTTAGCTGACTGTCTCCTTCCCAAGGACTCTGTCCCTTTGATCCCCTCTGCTGTATCCAGACCCTTCAAATGTGTGGATTCAGCTTCAAAACTGCCCAGGTATAGACAAGACACAAAGCCCTACCCCAAGTTCAAAAGGAACTTGCTTTCTCAAGCAACTAAAACCAAAACCAAGACCAGTGAATGAAAATGTAATAGAGAACCAGGACATTTTTGCAAGGATTAATACTGATCCTATATTTAGCCATTAACTTCCCCAACATGCACCGCTCTGCTTCTTCCTACCTCTATAGCCATGCTCAGAGAATCACCATTTGAACTCGTGAGCATTTCCCCTCCCACTAACCTCTTCCACAAATTCTTTGTAGAAGGGTGCCCTGTCACAAAGATCCTTCCAAGGAAACCATGGATGTAGTGGAGATCAAGTCATTAATTGGATAAACACTGAGCATCTTTGGACATCCAGTTTGTATGAACAGCCCTACCCCCACTATCCCTCCAGGTCCCATAGGCATAGAAACAGTCTAGGGACAGAAAGCTGTAGTCCCCATGAACACCCCTGCCACCCACCCACACCTAGCTCGGTAAGAGCCCATAGGGAGTTCTACATGCAATCTGCCTTCTGATTCCTTTCCCCGGCCAGTCACTTTCTAATCTCCCATGTTCCTACACCAGTACTCACACACAGACATGCATCCATAACCCTTCTTTCTCCCTCCACAATCTTGAGTTAGGAAGTGCTTTGCACCTGTTTTTTTTTTTTTTTCTTCATGTCTTCGGTTTCTTTTCTTTGCTGGCAGTTTAGTTCCCAAACCTAATTCCAAAAGCAATTCCACAGCCCAAATTTCTGTGCCCAGCAGTCATCTCCACTGGAAAACAAATGGCACAAGATGCTGTTCTTCCCTCTGCAGGTGTCATTTATCCCCCAAGAACAGCTGTCCCTTGGATTTGGGGTAGAAGAGGATGGAAAGGTGACCCTTCAGAAAGGTATCACTCAGTTGCATGAGGGTCTTCAGAATAAAGTGTTCTACTTACTTCCAGCTCAGTTAGATAAACTCCCTAAAAAGAATTTATTCTTTGACCTTGGGTGAGCTATTTAACCTCTCTTCACCTCACTTCTTTGGTCTGTGACATGGAAGGAACTAATAAGGGGTCACTGTGAAAAAAGAATGAGATGCAAACATGAAGCACTTGGCCCAGGGCTGAGGACACGATAAGCATTGGGCCACATTCCCTTCCCGGTTAGGGTATGGAAGAAACAACTCGCTGGAACTCAGAAATCTGAAATCAATTGATGAATCCTGGCTTTCTTTCTTACTTTTCTTTCCCAGGGCTCTACCACTGAACCACACCCCCAACTCTTCCATCCTGACTTTCTGAAGGACTGCCTCAGGGTTGTAATAAAGATCAAATAATATAATGCGCAGAGCCAGGTGTGGTGGCACATGTCTTTAATCCCAGCACTTGGGAGGCTGAGGCAGCAGGACTGCCACAGGTTCATCAAGGCCAGCCTGGGCTACTTAGCAAGACCCTGTCTCTAAAAAAAATACTGCTACAAGTACTAATAATTAATAATAATAATAATAATAATAATAAAAATGCACATAAAGCACCTGGCATGATGCCTGGCCCAGAATGTTGAATAACAAATGGCAACTAATTTCACCATTGTGGATTCAGTATTAGCTGGGCATGTTCTGAGCCATGTGTAAGTCTGAACTCATTTAATCCTCACAAGACCCTGTACGATTTGAGTAAGCTCCCAGATCCCTCCCTCTTCCTTACTCTGACTCCACTCCATCTTTTGCTTTCCTCTTATGAATTATAACTTCAAAAACTGCCCCACTTCTGCTGTGTCTAGATAAGAAATGAAAGGAGGAGGTGCTAACTCTTCACTCAAGCAGCAGAGCATCAACCCCAGCCCCTTGTGCCTGTGTCCTTCCCCCAGGGGCCCAGGAAAAGACATATGGAAAACCAACAATTCCTCCAGAGTTTATTTCTCAGGGATGGATCACCAGTGATTCTGTCCTCTGTGACACAGTGTGGCCCTCAGGAGAGCTCCCTCCTGATTATATTCACTCCAGAAATACAACCTTGGACAATAATGTGGGGGAACTCGTTCCTGGGAATGAATTGCTACAGTTTACACAGAAGAAGCAGGGAGATTCAAAGAACTGGGCAGAGGAACCTTAGGATCCAAGAATATATGGAGGGATTTCAGATGGGGAGGGGGTGCATGGTGGCATCATTACGAGTTTGAATTTCTTTCACATTTGAAGTTGTAGGATTCTGCCCCTAGGAAATGTGTCGTTCTGCAAAAGAAATAGAAAGATGATGATAATAACCCAAATTAACCATCATTTCTCTCTGCGAGTATTCCATGCCAAACTCTTACTGCAATGATGTTGAAAATTCTAGGTCACCAACAACCAGTACACCATAGCTCCCTCCCCATAGATACTCCACTGGGGAGAAGAAGAGTTTGTAGTGTCTCCTTTTTCCCCTTTCCTGGTCCTAAATGAGACTACGGCATCTTAAGTCACTTCACTGCATCTTCGCAGCAGCTCACCGTGACTCTAAGCACCATTAACTGAACCCAACACTGACTTTTAACCCTCGTCCCCTCTGAAGGGCCAATGGGCAAACAGAGCAACAGAGATGTTACCTTCAGGGTAAATGGATCCAGGGAGAGGAGTGTAGCCTAGGAGAGGGAATGCTTGATTAGACCAATGAAAATACCCAGCATTATTCACAGCAAATAGGGTGTAAGTAAGAGAATCAATCACAAACAGAACAGGAGCGAAGACTAGGAACAAGAGTGGAGATAGGAGCCCAAGGGGCCGCTCACCGGAGGAGGCTGCCTTCCGCCAGCTGATCAAGCCGGCAAAGAAGATAATGATGCCCAGGCCCAGAGCCACCACAGACATAGAAACCTTCACTTTCTGCATGGGGGACAGCCCGGGAGCTGCAAAAAATTAGAAACTTATTAGGACCAATCTCTGTGACCCACTGTCAGAGCAACTCAATTTAGAGCAGCCTCCACTTAAAAGTTCAAATGTCCTTTATTGCCGCCCTACTGTCCATCTCTCACCAACCTGTCCCTAAGGAAATGGCTTTCTTCAAAACCATCCTCTGTGAGCCTCTACACCTAGGGCACCCTGGGGAGCCTACCTCTCTGGTTACCTCCCAGCTTCCACTTCCTTTCTAATATGATGGTGTAGCAGAAAATGCCTCCCCCCTCCACAGACAGTATACTTCCGTTTGTTAGTTGCCCAGGTAATAGTTCCTGTTCCAGTTCTGGTTGCTTCTGTCTCTTAGAAACAACTGATCACTGTGATGCACAGCTGGTTGCTATGATGCAGACTGTAAGAACCAATCCCCAACTGACAAGCCATTCTGCCTCTGTACTTTCTACTTGCTTATCCCATATAAGCCCTAGACCACCAGAGATACGGGCCTGATATTCAGGGAATGATCCCAATCAGTGCCCGTCAGTGTGAATAAATCTGCCTCCAAATCCTGGGTGTCATTTCGGTGTTTCTGCTTGATGTTGCAGTAGGATCTCTCCTAGCATTCTTCCCTTCCCTTGTCCTCAGGGTAACCTCACCAGCATAAGGGCTTCCTCGATCCTCTCTCCTTTGCCCCCCAGTGACTGACAAGTTTGCTCCCTTACTTGGTCCATCTGAGGAGTTTCCTGTTAAAGTGTCTTCCCCTGCACACCCCGTTCCTGACCTCCAATAATTCCACTTGGTAACCTATGCTAATACTTATGTTTTCCTTATCCAGACTTTCCATGGGTCCTCTCAGGGTTTGCCTCCATCCTGCTCCACTTGCTAGCACTGGTTCTATTCTGAATCATGTCCCACCTGGATTCTTTTCCCATGGTGCTCCATCACCAAGGAAGACTCCCTGCACACTCTGTAGAGATTTGCCCAGGAGAACTCAAGTGAGCATGGAGTTCCACTGTCTTCCGGTTCCCTGGCTCCTCCCAGCTGTTCAGCAAAATACAACAACCTGGTCTCAGCAGCGAGGCAGGGATCCTGCTTCCTGGCTCCTTTCCTCTTCCTCATTTCTTCTTTTTTTCCCCCAGTCACCCCCAAATCTGTGCCCAGCTTTTCTCGTTACCTTTCACTATTTCCAATCTTGGGGTTCAAACAGGGGCAATGAGTTCTTCACGCAGTATCCCCCAAGCACTCCCACCATGGTTTTCCTGCCCCGTTAAGCTCAGTGGAGCAGCCCAAACCTATGCCGCCCCACACCAGAAGAAAGTCCCCTTACTCGGCAACCTTCATTTATCTTTAACACCTGTCCCCGAACTGACAACAAAATCACTGGATCTGAGGGCGCTGGGGTGGTGAATTTCAGTGTTGGATTCTAAAAATGCCTTTACCAAATCTACATCCTCTTTTTGGAACAACCTCCTCTCCTCCCATCCCAACATAGATAGAGCAACACCAACCACACCACAGCCGCGACAACACAATGCCTAGCTCCTCCCATTCCTTTCTCCTGCTGCCTGGTCCCTGGTTAGAAGCTCTCCGTGATTTCCGACTCACTCACCGCTCCCAGCACCTCCCCCTCTACCATCCGCCACGTATCGGCCCACATCTCACTCCCTCTGCCAAAACACTGCTGCCCCCTTTTCAACCACCATCTCCTGAGAGCTCTCAACTTTAACCCGAATTCCTCCCATCCGCCATCGCTTACTCCAGTCCTGATAAATGGGCTCAGAAGCCCCAGCGTGCTTCACCGCGCAGGTGTAGATGTCCCCATAGGCGGGGGTTAAGGCTAAATGAGAAACAATCTGGTACGTCCAGTCTCCATTGGGCTGTGCAGTCTTCTGGAGGCTGCTGTGAGGGGCGACAAGTTGCCCATTCTTCATCCATGTGATGATCACATCAGCGGGGTAGAAGCCCCACACGTAGCAGGCTAGCATCACAGGCTCCCTGGTGTTAAAAGGAGTGGTTTGGGCTACTTGCACGGATGGTGGTTCTGCATAGGAGAGAAACGTAATCGGGAATGAAGGTGGAGTTCTGGCTCTCTCGGACCTCACTCCTTCCCCGTTTCAACTCCTCAGGCATTTTGCCAACCTGCTTTCCACACTTGTCCCCCATGCTGAGCCACCACAGAAGGAAGGAGCTGCAGTTCCTCCTGCTCCTCTGTTTTTCTCTCTCCCCCGCCTTCATTGCCCCATTTCTTTTTTCTCTTTTAAAATTGTTTCATCACAATTGGTAAATGCCAGGTCTGACCTGAAAGTTGTTTCACATTCATTATGTCTATTTCATGTACAATAGCTTCAGAGTACATAAGCAAAAGGCAATCCAGGACTGTAAATGGGGTGGGGGCTCCTAAATCTTGTTTCACAAATCAACCTGTGAAACAAAGCTTCTCCTTGGACAGTTTAAGGAAACAAATCTAAGTCGCTTAAATTTGGAATTAGTGTAATTCAAATTAATGAGGTTGCTAATACTGCCATCTTTTATTAATTTGTTCTCATAGGTGACCTTTCTGCTTACCTCTACCTTGGTGTTTTTCAGACAAAATCGTAAATAAAAATCCAGTAAGTTATGTTAAAATCCCTAGCCTGCAAACACATCTATTTTCACCCAGTGGATCTGGCGTGGTACCCAGGAGCTTGCCTTTTTAAAAAGCACTTCCCAGGGGCTGGGGATTTAGCTCAGCGGCAAAGCACCTAGCTGGCAAGTGCAAAGTCGTGAGTTCGGTTCCTGGTACTGGAGAAAAACCAAAAAAAAAAAAAAATAAAAAGCACTTCCCCCAGACCATTCTGAGAAAGAGGGTTCAGAAACTACATCTTAAGACATACTACTTTGCCCTCTGGAGAGCTTCAAGATTACTTTTACAAACCTCAAGCTATTATCACTGCAAGGCATTCAGGGACAGAGTACGTGCCAGAATTCCCTGGGAACCTTTTCAAGTATTCTCATGCTGAGGTTCACTCCAAATTAGGACATCAAAATCTGGGACAAAGAGCCATGGACATTTTGGGAAAGCCATTCTGGTTACTCTGACACAGACCAGTTGAACTTGGAGCTGCAGCCTGAGATGCCCCAGCCTCCCTTACTCTCTTCCTACTATCTCATCACTGGCTCAAATGTCACCTCCACTTCTTTACTCCGCCCACCAATCACCATGTTCCCTTTGGTGTTCAGCCCGCCCTTCCTCCTACATCATAAGTCTGCACAGCTTCTGTTCCTCTCGTGCTCAGACTCAAAGCCCCGCCAGCCCTCTCCCAGCAGTGCTCCCTCGGGGCCCCTCTGCACCCTCTCTCCTCACTTGTTCTGTGGGTCAGTGACCCCCAGAAAGGCTGGGTGTGTGTGGCACAGTCTTGGAGTCCATTGTGCAAGCGCTGGAGCAGGTTTGTATTGTTGTTGAGATAATTGGACAAAGAGACGGCCAACCTATACAGTGTCCCAAATTCACAAGGGGCCATTCCGCCCTCCTCTGGATTCCAGCAGGTCAGCAGATCCTTGTTGTAGGCGACACAATATGTGAAGTCCTTTGGAGTCCCATTGTCATCCAACACACAGGTGCTTTCCACATGGGCCATAAAACCACCTAGAAAAGCCAGAGAAGGGAAGGCAGGGCAGTGTTTGCTACAAGAGTGGTATAACAATAGCACCTCTGCCCTCAGTTCCTGGTGCAGAGTTCCTAGAACCTTTGTAATTTCACAAGTGATGGAGGGTTTGGTGCATCTGTTGTTCAAATATTTGGTCTTTGAGCAGTGCCTAGTACAGAGCTCCTATTCGCTTGGGATCTCATGCGTAATAGCAGCGTCTTTTGTGCTAATGAGGTGACTCTTGGTGGGTTTCTAGATGAGGGCTGGCCAGCTGAAAGATGCAGCTGCAATTAGAAGCTTGGAATTTTTATTCCCATCCCAGGAATGGGAGAGGAGCTGGAGACTGAGTTAATAATCCGTTATACTTATTAATAAAGTCTCCAGAAAGATTTCTAAACTATGGGGCTCTGAGACCCTTTCAGTTGGCAAACACATCCATGCTCCAGAAAAGCACTGCACCCCAACTCCACGGGGACAGAAGCTCCTGCACTTGGGTCCTCGCCTTAGCTACGCTTTCACCTGACAGCTCAGCTTTGAAGTGTCACTTTAAAATGTCCTTTGTAATAAACTGGTGATAGTAAACAATCTATTTTCTTAGGGTCTCTGAGCCTCTCTGGCAAATTAGTGAGCCCAAGGAAGGGCTCATGGGAGCTTCTGATTTGTAGCCAAGTGGGACAGAAGTTGTGAGTGACCCAGGGACCTGCTACTCGTGCTTGGTATCTGAAAAAATGGGCAGTCATGTGGGACTGAGGCTGTGGGGTCTGTGCCACCTCTGATTGCTTTCAGAGTCCAGCTGAATTCTAGGATGTCAGCTGGTGCAGGAGAACTGGTGGGGAGAATAACGTTAAGAGGAGTCTTAAGTGTGAACACAGAGAAGAAAAACATGGTTTTTCCTATATTCAGTGGGGAATTCAACCTGTGTTACACTCAGTTACTTTGGCAGGGGTATCCTGCCTCCTGTGCAGCATCTACTGACCAAGTTCAGGCTCTGCAATGTCTGGGAGACCCAATAGAGGGAACAGAGGGTGGTAAAGAGAAGGTTTCAGGTCCAGATTCCCATTTATATGAGACTAAGTACTGGGATAGGAACAACCCAAGAACATTTACATGTTTAAACATGACACCTCATATCCAATCGCAGACCTGCGGTAGGAAAATTATTGAGAGGGACAAAAAGGGTCAAAGGGAGAATCAGCTGTACTCTGAGACGGAAACATTATTAACTTTTCACTCCACACATATTTATGAAACACGTGCTATACATCAGGCACAATAACAGGAGCCAGCAATGCAGCCACACACAAGGCAGAAAGTGTCCTTGCCTACACTCCAGGAGGGGAGTGTACATTACATAAAAACTACACAGCGTGATTCTCATTGAAATGCTACTAAGGTACGGTACGAAGTGCTGTGGGAATAACATAACTGGGAGACCAACTAGTCTGGGGTGTTCAAACCCAATAACAAAACAGTATTTTGCCTCGAAATAGGAGCGAGGGAAAAGAGGGTCCCAGGAAGAAACGTCCTTACCTGCTCCTGTGAAACCCAGGCTGAGGCCCAGAAGCAGCGGCAGCAGTGTGATCATGCTCTGCTCTGCAGCAGCGCCGGGAGTTCAGGCCCTGGCCAGCTCTTGCAGGGTCCCTGGGTTCCCTCCTGCTCCGGAAGACCCAGTCTGGATGAATGATCTCCACACACCGAGTGGCTGTAGTATTACACGTGTCCCTTGATCCTTGCTAGATGAGCGATTTGGGGCTACCCAGTCCCCAGATATTAACCCTGTTCCTATCAATTCTCCCAAGTCCTGCGTCCCAAAGGAGAGTTATCATATTAACTAGGTAGGCGGAGACAGATGTAGAGACCAATCAGCTGAGGGCCTCGGGTAGGCATCATCAGTCGCTAGGTAAACCTCATCCTGCCCGAGGCTTAGAGAGCAGCTGCCGGACTCTGTTTCTTTTTTTTTTTTTCCTGTTCATTCTTTGTTTTGTTTTGTTTTGTTTTTTCCGGTACCGGGAATCGAACTCACGACCTCACGCTTGCCAGGCAGGCACTGTGCCGCTGAGCTGAATCCCCAACCCCTACGGACTCTGTGTTTCTTTATTCTTTTTGTGTGAAACGACCAGACTGCAAGTGATTTCCTGAGGTCGGTGGAGGGAATAAGTCCAACTTTCCCAGGACATATGCAGCTTGGCTGCCCACTAGTTTAGATTTCACCTCTCAATGCCCTTCCAAAAGAGGAGGACCAGGGCCAAGGATATAGCTCAGCGGCACAGCACCTGCCTGGCAAGCGCAAGGTCCTGAGTTCGAACGCCGCACAAAAATTAAAAAAAAAGACCAGGACCAGACAACTTTCCTGTCCCTCACAGGAGCTTGCATAAGTCCTTCATCTGTCCTGTCACTCAGGGGCCTGTGGCAGAAGCCGGGGTATTGAGAAGGAGGCACAGGGAGTGCAGACTTGTCTGGTCTCAAAGCAAAACTGCACAAGAAGAGAAGCAGTTCACCTTAGAAAGCCAAGGTAGGCCTGGAAAATCCCTGCACGGGCCTCCCTTGTTTCTTTCGCTCTAGCACATCAAGCTTCATTTCCTCCTCACCTACAAGAGCTGCTTTCTGGAGTCAGGAAACCCTGTCCTCCTACACTCAGAGCCATCTCTGGAGTTGACCTCAGGGCAGCTCCACTGAAGCCCTTGGGTGAATAGCTGGCCAAGCATCCAGAGCCCACCTGTCTTCCCCAAACCCTAAACTCCTCTAAGTGTCCCCTGTACGGTCCCTTCTGTCCCTGGGTGGATCCCCACCCACATTACGAAGCCACTAGAATAATGTGATGAAGATTTTCTGCTATTCTTTGCTTGGAAAAGACAAATTTTAAATGGCAATTCGTTCTTCTATCTCATTGTGAACCATACAATTGATGAATTTTTAATCAATTCATCATAAATTTTCATCAATCTCATCATAATGTAATCCCCTAAATTGGTTACCTTTGCTGCACAATAGGCTGAAGAGGAGCCTCTTCTCACCGTAGATTCACAAAGCTCTTGGACTTAATAACCAGACAAAAGGGAGTTAGGAGGGAGCCCTTGACCCCACACTTACCGCCCTCCCCTAACCTCAAGAAAGCCCCTAACCCCAAGAAAATCTATTACTTATGAAGAAAAGCAGAAGGGAAACAAAGCATGTGTCCAAAATGAATTCAGTAATCAATATCAGGAACAAAAGATTTGTTTTGTATAACTGAGATTGATTGAGAGTCTGCCTGTATTTCCCAGCCACTCCGACTGTGGCATCCACCTCGGCTATAGACTCTCACTCCTGTAAAGAACCATTAAGTGCGCTGGAGTAGGCAGAATACAGGGTGGGGAGTCCAGAGTTTGTTGAGCTTCAACTTTGTAAGATACTATTGTAGGGTGTCCTCTATGTACTATCTCATTTATTATTATTCTTAAAGGACTTATTAACCATTTTAATTTTATAGACTTGAAGATAGATCTTTTGTAAATGAGACTAGATCCAAGAAGTGAAGGGAGGGGGAAAGAAAGGAGGAGAAGGGGATGAAAAAGAACTGAGATGGATGATGTACGTTACTAACTCCCCCAAGGAATGCGATCATTATATACTACAAACATGTACTAATAAAAACTAAAAACTGAAGAAAACAATAAACGGGATTGACACAAAAAAGGAAAATATATCCAGAGATTCACACCCAAGGTCTAGAGTCTTTCATTTCTTTGCTGTTACAATTCTTGCTTTCACATACACACACTCACTAAAGCTGTTGAGACAGTGCAGATAGCAGAAGTTGGTGAGGCCTCTGCTGAGAAAAGGAGGAAGAGAGGAGCCACAGACCACACCCAATCCATGTGAGACTCGTCCCTCCTGTGCGCACAGTCCCTCCTCCGCTCTCCCACTTGTTTCCACAGTCTCAGAACTGCGTGTGCGCACCGCACGCTTCCCCTCACACCTCTCTCCGCCCGGCCCGCTGGGTGGCAGCCCAACCTGGCAGGACCAGGGCTTGGCATCCTCTTCGGTGTCCGCTGAGCCCTGCCACAGGTCCACTCGCCACGTGGTCTTGTGCTGTCCCAGGCACAGGGACAGCACTGCAGTGTGGCCGAGTGGAGTTCCCTCCCATGTCTGTGTGTCTGCTCCAGCAGTCAAAGGAGATGTGAAACCTCCTCTGAGGCAGCCACAGGAAGTGGTGGGAGAGGATTTCACTTCTCCATTCGTGTGAACACTGAGCGAGATTTTAGAGTAAGGCAGGATAGAAAACCCAGAGACCCATGCTCAGCAAAGCAGTTTCTTCTCTATTTCCTCCTCCTAGCCACTATTTTTACAGATGTTGTTCTGTTTTCCCATTTGCAGACAACTCCGAAGAATATTCTCACTGCTCTGTCCTTCCTTGCTTATCTGATCAATTTTGTGAAGCACTAGGGCTGAGGAAGTCATGGAATCTCAGCCAGGTTCCCACGCGCTGTCCTTCATTTATGGTCGCTATGCAGAACCCACAGAGTGAGTCCTCTGCTCTCTCCCACTAGCTCTTCCCGAGCCTGGCCTGGCCAGGACAGGCCTGCAGTGGACTAGCCCCAGTGATGATATGCGCAGAGGGCAGGGGAAGCCCAAGGTGGGAGATATGGACTCTGTTTCCGTGTCACCTCACTTGGAGCATTTGAGGAGTGGAAGCAAACAGCTACAGAAGAAGAGTTTATGTTGAAGTAGGCAAACAAGAAAGCCAGTGGACTTAGAAGGGAAACAAACAGTTGCCATGGCATGGCAGGCATGGCAGGCATGGTGGACAGGGTGGGTAAGGGGTCCTCTGAATCAAGGGGTCCTGGAGCTGAGCTTGAGTACTGGGCTGGATCCATGTGGGAGAAGAGGAAGGCAGCTGGCATCGCAGCCCTGGTATAGAGCTCCCCAAGCCTGGTGGTGCTCTGAGGTGCTGCTGGGGGTCTACTAGGAGGCGGGTTGGCTGAAATAAAATCAAGCTATGATATCAGCACCAGAGTTATGTGCTATAGAAACCGGAGTTCTTGTTCCTTTCCTGAGAGCGTGGCCATAACAATATAAATTTCTTCCAGGAGTTTCCTCAAACTACTTTGTGTAGGCTCTCAGGTTCCTCCTCTGGACAGATGGTTGTAACTCAAGTCTCCATCTTATAAACAGAAAAGAAAAACAAAAACTGTTCAACCTGTCAGTCATTTGCAATCTAAAACCAATAGCATGAGACCATAGGCTTTTGACAGCCAAAATTCAATAATTCTATTCAGGGAAGGAATTGTATGCAAATTTAACTGATGAACAACAAAGTGAAAGAAGCATGTGCAATATCCACATTGGCCGGAAATTACTACAGAGAATATACATATTCTCGCAAATTCACAAGAAAAAGAGAGAAAATGCAATTCTTAAATAGACAAAAGATATGAATCACCAAGTCACCAAGAGAAATACTTATGAAAAGATGCCCAGCCTCGCTAGTAATACAAAAGAGGTAATTTAAAACAATAAGCCAGACATGGTGGCCTGCAATCCCAGAACTCTAGAGGTTGAAGCAGGAGGATGGTTGTGAGTTTGAGACCAGCCTGGGCTGCAAAGTGAGTTCAAGGCCAGCCTAAACTGCATAGTGAGACCCTGTCTCAAAAAAAAAAAAAAAAAAAAAAAACAGACATGTGAATCAGTGGCCTAGGGTAAAGGATGCAAAAACAATCCTAGACACATTCAACCATGTGCTTTTTGACAAAGGGAAAAAAAACATATGCTGGAAGAAAGATAGCTTCTCTAACAAGTGGTGCAGGGGAAACTGGCTATCCACATGCAGAAGACTGAGTCTAGACCCTGAGTTTAGTACAGGGTATCTCTCACCCTGTACTAAAATATAATCAAACTGGATCAAAGATCTAAATATTAAAATGGAAATACTGAATCTGCTAGATGAGAAGTGAAACTCTTGAAGACACAGGAATAGGCAAGGACTTTCTCACCAGAATCCAAATGGCACAACAAATACTAATACCAAGAATGAACAAATGGAATCAGAGAAAATTAAAAAGCTGTTGCACAGCAAAAGAAACAACTAACAGAATGAAGGGCCCACCTACAGAATAGGAAAATTATTTTTGTCAGTTACTCCCTGGACAGAGGAATAATATCTAAAATATATAAATAATTGAAAACTTGAGGACTCCTCCCAATAAAGGATTCAATCAGAGAATGGGCAAGTAGAATGAATAGACACTCTCAGAAGTACACATGGCCAGGCTGCAGCCTGCACTATCTCTGCCACCATCCACAGCCCACTGAGCGGAGTGGAAGTGAAAGCATTTCTGGACGGTGGTGGGTTCCTGGATCCCAAGGTGAGTGGGTGATGCTCCAGTGGCCTGAGTAGTCCTAGAAGCCGAGGTAGGCTGAGCTGACAGGGGAGGATATGGTAGAGCTGGGCCAGGAGGAGCTGGTAGCCAGGACCTGGTGCTTAAGGAGCTCTAACTGGTGCTGGGCAAGTCATGGGGTGCCCCTGTGGACCCTGTAACCTAGGCGGAGGGGTAGGAGTGGGAGGGAGTACAAATGACCAATAAATACATGAAGAAATGTTCAACATTGCTGCCATTAGAGAAATGCAAATTGAAACAAGACTGAAATTATATCTTACCATAGAAAGAATGGCTATCATTAAGAAATCAAATAACAACAAATGCTAGTGAGGTTGTGGGGGGAAAGAATCCTTCTACACTGTTGATGGAAATGTAAACTAGTACAACCACTGTGGAAATTATATGACAATTCCTCAAAAAACTGAAAATAGAAACTACACTTGATCCAGCTTCTAGGTATCTTCTTGAAAAAAATTAAAAACTAAATCTTATATGTTGATCAACAAATAAATGATAAAGAAAATGTAGTATTCATACACAATAGAGTATTACTCTGCCATGAAAAGGATAAAATTGAGTCAGTTTTAGGAAAATGGATGTACCCTGAGACAATAATGTCAAGTGAAATAAATCAGAAATAAATAAACAACATATACCAGTTATGTACGTGTACCAACTCCCCATGATGAATGTAATCACTATTCTGCAAACATGTACTAGTAAAAGGAAAAAGAAGGAGGAGAAGGAGAAGGAGGAGGAGGAGGAGAAGGAGAAGGGGAGAGGGAAAGGGGAAAAAGAAGAGGAAGA